AAACCCCTAATCACCAAACCCGAGGTTCTAATACAGGAACAATAATAAATGAAATACAACAAATCTCAGAACACAAGCGCAGTGCCATATCATAGCCTACATGAATGTCATGTCAAAATCATGTCGTGAACTTCTGTGAGAAGGTCATATGCAGGGTTAAGAACTATGTCCGAAACAGGAACTATATATGGTAGTTTCCGACTCATAGAATAAGTGGCAAATGTCCAACACGAGGACTGAAATGGATTATAGTCCAACACGAGGAATAAAATGGATTATAGTCCAACACGAGGACTTCTATGGATTACAGTCCAACACGAGGACTGTGAAATAGTGAAAATATCGCTGTGATATATATAGATATATCAATCCACACTCAAACAGTGTATAAGTCCCCAAATTATACCCTCAGGTCATCTATCATGCATGGATACACAGTGAGACTAAATACCAAGGTCAGATAGTCCAGGCAAACCCTCGAACATGAGTAACATACCCAAAAATATCCAGAACAGGAAATCACAACAGACAGTGCGGCGGGGGGCCCGCCCGTCGACCGCTGCGACCTCGCGGTCGACCGACAGAGTGTCGCGGTCGACCGACGAGGCTCTGCGGTCGACCGCAGCCCTAAAACGTGCCCAGCGGTCGACCGCACCGGTCGACCGCCACGCGGACACCAATGAGGCTCTGCGGTCGACCGCAGCCCTAAAACGAGCCCAGCGGTCGACCGCACCGGTCGACCGCCAAGCGGACAGAAACCCAATCTGGGTTTTCTGTCAGCTGCTAAACCTGAAACATAACTTGATATTTTACGATATACATGAGTTATAATGATTCAAAAATCATACTGAAGATAAACACTAAATCCCAAGCTTGAAATCTAAATTTCCAATATTTCAAAATGCATGAGAAGCGAATTAAAACGTTTTAATAACAGTAAAACATGGTTAAACTCTTGTTTAAGAAATCCCAGATCTAGATCTTCATTAGACAAAACATTGGTGAACTTTTATAAACTGAAATATTGATTCTTGCAATCCATGTTGTAAAGAACTCATTTTTTATACAAAAATACCTTTTGGGCTCATCAAAATCCCAAGCTTGAAAATCTAAATTTCCAATATTTCAAAATGCATGAGAAGCGAATTAAAACGTTTTAATGACAGTAAAACATGGTTAAACTCTTGTTTAAGAAATCCCAGATCTAGATCTTCATTAGACAAAACATTGGTGAACTTTTATAAACTGAAATATTGATTCTTGCAATCCATGTTGTAAAGAACTCATTTTTATACAAAAATACCTTTTGGGCTCATCAAAAACTCATGAAAAATCGAAATAAAACCATAGAAAATAGGGGTGGAAGAGAGGGGGGCTAGGGTTTTGATTTCAGAACTCAAAAGGGGCTCTCTCGAATATATTAGCATATATATCAACTCACAAACCCGACCCGAAACCCGTTTGAACCCGAACCTGAGAAAACCCTCTGATCGCTGTTCGGTCGACCGATACGGTCGACCGCGTCGGTCGACCGCGTCGGTCGACCGCGTCGGTCGACCGCACCGCGGTAAAATGCCTGCTGCTAGGCATTTTACATGTTGGTCATTACACTCGATATCTCTCACTTAAAAACACCTGTTGGGTTCCCAAACACTGATAAATATATACATCTTATATATATATGGTTATTTATCACAAAAGAAAGATTTATTACTATTTATTCACACAATATCATTATAAATTTTTGGGGTTTTACAACAGGGAACTGTTTTGGAGCTGCACGGTCGACCGTGGCGCAAGACCGTTCGCCCGCGAACGTGCACAGGCTCAGACATAAGCCTGGACTTAGTGTTGTCGACTGTGTGACCCTGTAGGAGATATTTGAGCTTTGTCGTTTGACGCGGTCGACCACGGCGGTCGACCGCGTATCGGGTCAGGCCCAGTTTGAGTTTCCTATTCTGATTTGGATTTTGGTGTTTGTATAAATACCAATATATGTTCTAGGGTTTCTTAAGGCTAGAGTTTGGGATATTTGGAGCACAGAAAAGAGGTATTTTCTGATCTATTTGTTTAGAATTTATTTGGAGAGATTAAGAGCTTTGTGGTGAGATTAGTTTGTTCATTCGAGTGATTTGTAATCTTAATTTGTACTCTTATTCTCTATTAGTGAAAACCTCATCCCCTTCTTGCCCCGTGGACGTAGTCAATTGCCGAACCACGTTAAAACTGGTGTTTGGTGTTTGTGCATTGATTTTGGTTGGATTTTGCCTTCTTTGATCGGCGGTTGGTTTGGTTCCTCGACACGAGTTTTCCCAAACAGAAACTATAGGGTATTTGTTAATTAGAACACTAGCCGTCGCCAAGCTAATAGGGTATTTTATTTCATTTTGTTAAAGTATAGAAATGAATCCTCAATCCTCAACACAACTTTGAAGTTTTAGAGAGAGAGAGAGAGAGAGAGGGAGAGAGAGTTTCATATATGATATCTGAATAATTTAGGTTAAAATCTAATCGGTCTCTTATTCAAATTGGATTTAATATTAAAAAATACACGTGTCTCGACCTTTAAATAGGTCGTTTAAGTTGCGGGCACATATTAGAGTATAAAATTATAATTCTTTGAACATCGTTACAATTTTTAAAGTTTTGGCTCAATAAAGGCCATTTTTTAACGAGATAAAGGCCATTTAACGAGATTATCTTTGATCCAACATTGAATTATTCTTTTTTAGCTCAATAAAGGCCCTTTAACGAGATTATCTTTGATCCAATCCAAATAGGACTTTAACAATATTAGTGTGTGGAGTTGCCAGCCTTAGCCAATGTAGTCGTGGATTCAGACCCAATCCTGCACCAGTCAACACTGTCAGGGCCGGCCCTGGGGTAAGCCCACCAAGCCCCGGGGCTGGGGCAACCCAGGGCCGGGGGGCAACCCATCCCGAGCGCTCCTACACCCCTCAAACTGTAATTATATTTGATTTTTGAAGTAGACTTTGTAAGAGGGTCTTTATGCAAAAAAATTTAGGGGTTGTATTTGTAAAAAAACTCTAGTAATGACCCTACCCAACTCCCAATTTCCCCCGTCTCTGTCCTACAGATCCCGCTCACAAAAAAAAGAAGAAAAAATAAGAAAGAGAGAAAACCCTCCTCTCCTCCAGTCCTCCTTCCTGAGCCGTCGGCGGCG